ACTTCGTCAAGAAAATATAATAATCATAAAAATATATGTATCAAACACTAGTATTTTCAATTTTATAAACATGAATACTTAAAAGACATAAAAGATCCTAATATAGTAATAGGGGTGATTCCAATACCCTATTCTCATCTCCATGTAGTGATTCAAACTAAAACCTAGTAAGGAAATCCCAGAGTTAAAATGTACCATAGGGCAAATAGATTTCACAGGTATCTATGGAACATCCCACCCAACAGAAATAGAATCATAGAATCTTTTCTAAAATATATCACATTCTAAGCAACAAAACAGCTCTTACTAAATATAGAAGAATCATAATCATCCCTTGTATCTTTTTAGATCATAGTTCAATGATACCAGAAGTTAATAGAAAGAAAAACTACATAAGCATATGAAAGCTAAGCATTTTGCTATTGAATAATGAGTAAGTCACTGAAGAAATCAGGGAGGGAATTTAAAAGTTTCCAGAATACAATGAATTCCAAGGATGGGACATTATCCTTCAAGATGTAAAATATGAAAGGGAAGTCCCTCACTGCCTACTCTTGACTACTCCCTCCTGGGCTTTTCTTTAGTATCTCCCCTACTGAGTTTCTGGGCATCTTCTCTGCTAAACACCTTAACTCACATGAGTGATTCCCAAGAATGTGGGCTGTAGATGAATGCATACTTTATGACCTCATCTCCATAAAAATTTAAAACAGTACATATTTTAGAGATACATATATATATATGTAGTAATATTACAATATATATATATATTGTAATATTACAATAAAGTCTAAAACCAAATTTAAAAGAAAAACCAAAACCAAACCAAACAAAAACAAACAAACAACAAAGTCAAAGTAAGAGAATCTTGTCTTGGAAGCTGTAGTGTGGCCTGTTGAATCACATAGTTTACCTTTTACTTCATTCATTCATCTTTACTTACAAGTTCATTCATTTTTACTTGCAAGTGTTCATTGCCTGAGTCATTGGTCTGTCTCAAGGCCTCTGGTTTCTGCTACATCACTGATAATGGGCTCCCACTGGGGTTCTTCTTGGATATCCTACTGTTGTGTCATGGAGGTCTTGCCATTTTTGGATCTGTAGGTTTTCTCCCTTCACGTGCTCCAAAAGTTCATAGAGTTGGTGGATGTTGGGTTGGGCCAACTCATAGCCTTGGTTCTGGGTCTGAGTAGTAGCTAGATTGGTCAGCCTGCCAGCTTTCCCTCGTGGTCACTACCCAGTCTAGCTCTCCAGCACTGCCTTGGCTAGCTCACTCAATGCAACCTGAAGCAAGGGCCAGGTCTGCTCTCAGAACCTCAGATGGGGTCACCCACACTCACATCGCAAGGGCCAGCTCTTTTATTTTACCCAGACAAAGTTAGAGCCCTCTCTCCCGATTGCTGTAGTGGACATGCAAGGGGTGGGGTGGGGTCAACTCTGGTACTCTCATGCCCTCAGAGCTGGCTCACCCGAGCCCCCAACAACAGCTCTAGTGTGCTGCCCAGGTGAGGTGCAGGGCATGTTCTCCTGTGTGCTGCAGCTGCTGAAGGGCAGGGCTAGTTCTCTCACTCTTTTGTGACCCCAGTGCTAACTCTCTTGCCTGACAAGGGGTGCAGGGGGGGGGAGAGACCATCTTTAGCCATTTCTCAAGCAAAACATATGGAAACAAATCATTTTTAAACTTTAAAAAATTATTTATTGTACAGTGTGTGTGTAAGTGTGTGCACGCACACACATAAATGGGTGTCATGGCAAATGTGTGAAGGTCAAAGGACAACTTTTGAAGGTCAGTCTTTACTTCCATTGTCTCACTGTGGGTTCCAGAGATGGAACTTGGTTCATCAGGCTTGGACGGCAAGCATTTTCGCTCACTGTGAAAATAAACTTATTTGAATTGGCTCATTCTGCTTTTATTCTTAATCAATAAAGTATGTGCATAAGGACTTCTACCATGGAAATGATTTCCCTCTACAAAGTATTGCTCCAGTGGCCTCTGGTGCACTTTGCTGCAGTGGGTAAAGTGCAATGCTTATATGGTTCTTCCATCCTTTGAAGGGACCAGTTTTAATTCTCTAGCCACTTTTAGAAATTATCACTGTCTTCTCTTTCTCCAAAGCACTAATGCTCTGATTCCTATCATCAGAATTAGTCTCACCTGTTCTTGAACTTCTTACAAAGGAACCCATACATCACATCCCTCTTGTGCCTGCCATCCTCCGGACATCCATGGCATCCATCTAGCTGGATATCAGTAATTTCCTTTTACTGGGTATTATTGAATACACAGTGTGTATCACTGGTTGACAGAATTAGAGGTTCTTTCTATGCTTAAAATATTATGAAATTTGACTCCAGGAACTGAGCATTTTTATACAAGTCATTTTGCACAGCTTACATTTAAATCACTCAAGAGGCAAAGGCCTTAGAGAAGAAAATTTCAAAATCAGCAAAGAAATACACATTTAAAGATAACTTGATTTCTATAGAAGCACAAATAGAGTTCTAACTATGATTAATTTGATTATATCTACATAGAAAATTACACTGAGAAGATGTAGGAAAGCATTAGTCAATCAGCAATCCCTAGGCAGCATATTGCAGTGTCTAGAAACCTGTAAATTACTAGGTGTGGCATTTCTAAAGGTTCAGCACATGGTTTAGCACATGCCCCTGGTAATTCTGATGTTGTTTCAAGTTTGAGAAATGCAGTTAAATAAGTACATTTCAACCCTTGTGTCATTACATAATCATATTAGATGGCCAGAGATATGGCTAGAGGAACTGCATTTGGGTGAGACATGGACTGACATCCGGCAAGATAAAGCCAGCCTCAAGGATGGGAGTGAGATTGCCCGAATTTGCCATATGTAACAGTTTCTGATAAGATTGAAACATTCTATCCTCCAGAAAAGCAAACAACTACAAATAGCTTTGGAAATCCATGAAACTGACCAGATTCACTAGGTTCCTCCCTGTAGGAGTCAATAGTAAGAGCTGAGAGTTCCTCTCCGAGGAGCTAAACTGTAAACAAAATTGAGACCAGACCATCTGCCTGAAAGAGCAGAAATCAGTGAGCTGGCTGGAAGAGGTTTAGACCAACTGAGTCACCTGGAAAGGACATACTTCAACCTGTTGAGTGCCTGCCGGCTGTACAGTGTGCTCCAGGTTCCCAGCTTGTGTAAGCTATCACTCATGCTGGCATGGGTTTTGGTGATGCATCTGCCTTTGAGTCATTTCTGCTTCTGTAAGTAACCCCAACAAAATTCATTGATTTACCAATGAACTTTGGTGGTATTTGTAATTTGGTCTGTCATAGGATCCCTCTCTGGAGTGAGTAGATACATGTATTGTGTCTCCCCAGAAAAATGTTTGTCAGATACACCATACCATCATGAAATAACTAAGGTAACACTATCTTATCCCAACATTATTTTGTGGCTTCCTGGTCACTTCTCAGCTGTCTACTCTCAATAGCCACATTCACCTTGGCAATACTTCTAGGACAATCCATGACCTTGACCATGGTCCAAACATACTATGTAGTGTCTGGAAGATACTGCTGAGCCTTGTTGTAAAAAAAAAAAAAAAAAAAAAAAAAAAAAAAACCAACCAGATGTTACTAGGCAACTCCCAATCCCCCACTAATGTAACACCTCCCTCCTAGCACTGATGTAATTATGGTTTTAGCTTTAAAAATGCTGCACCTTTGAGCTTGGGAACCAAGGGACTCTCCAGAGATGTGAGTCCACTCTTGGTCTGGCCATTAACAAAGAACTCAAAACTTTTAATTGGCTTATTCAACATGATTGTTATTGACTATCTCGCGTGGATCATTTCAGTCTCACTCAGGGTCATTTCTATTGATTTCTTACACTGAGTTTTATAATGACTCAACTCCAGCAGACAGAAATTTAAAGTTCCCAAATCAAGGATGTCATTATTTCCAGTTATAGTACTCAAAGTCAGTGCCGTCCTTTACATTTCTTGTTCACTCCATGTGCCTTCCTGTCCTCATTCATAAAATAAAAAGTCAGGAGGAAATGGTGCCATTTAAAAATTTATCTGTGGACTGGAGAGATGGATCAGTGGTTGAGAGCATGTATAGCTCTTGCAGAAGACCCAAGTTAGGTCCCCAGTACTCATGGCAGGCAGCTTACAACTACCTGTAATGCCCAGCTCCAGGGAATTCAATGGCCTCATCTGGCTTCCACAATAAATCACCCAAGTCCTAAAAACAGGCAAAAAGATCATTCTGGGCCATCATATTACAGGCGTTCCTAGTCTCACTGTGGGTAGGTACCTCTTTGTGTGACTCAGTTCTTACTCTCATGTGTATCTGGGTGTGTGGAAGCAAGCTGTAAGGGGGAAAGAACTGAAAAAGAGGAAGTCCTGGGAGAGACAGGACTAGGATGGGATACTAGTGCTTTAAACTACAGATGCACATTACAATGGAAAGAATATTAAAATATTTATGGAAGTCTAAAATAAAATAAAAGTTAATGTTTTATTGGCATGCACAATTACTCATATACATTATTCTTAGTGTTCATTTCTACTGGGATGATTCAGGAAAGGGTTGCTTAAGCTGAGTTAATTGAACTAGCTATTCCAGATCTATCTAGTCACCAGGAAACATCCTCACTCTTGAAGGAGCAGCCACTGTACTCCAACATAGTTTGCACAGCTCTAGTAATTTTAAAAACTCTTTATTCACCTGGGAACCTAAGCCCTTTCCTGGTGTGTCCAGTCCCACACAGCAGTCAGCTGCTAAAGGATCAATGCAATTGGCTGTTGCAGTGAATGTTATCGTGAAGCCTCTGCTATTCAAATGCAAGGTTTTGATACTACAAGTGTGTAAAACCTGGTATGAATAAGGGCAATGGCTGGGAAACAAGCATGTCATCACTCACAGGGAATTCCAGATTTTACACACTGTGACACAGCACCCTATTTCTTAGGCATGATGACACATGACTTGGACCACTTCAGCCATGGAGGACAGCCTTACACCATTCCCATCCCACCTACTTTGGAGTACACATTTTGCTTTATTGCCCATTCATCTATGAAATAAGATAGTGCTGGTGCTACTCACCTCTCAGGATGTAAATACCACAGATCAAACAAAAGTTTTAAGACAAAGACTTCTAACCAACCCTCTATTGATATGCTGAGTTCAAGGCCCTATTTGTAAATTGAAGTTAATATTGTAGTATTTCCCCTGTTCCGATGTGAGGAAGATAGGCTGGCCATTCTTGGAGGAGGCGATGAAGCTGCCAGGGAAAGCCACTGACTCAAAGGTAGATGTTCTACCAGTCTGGGTGTGGTAAAACAGGAAGGGTTTCTTGGGCTCAGGGTGCTTGTACAAATCCAAAATATTCTCCTCCTACATGTGAGAGAGAGTACTTGTGAGCAAAAATAGACATTGCTTCTGATAGGCAGAGCTATTTTTATGCAACAACAACAACAAAATATTCCCAATTTCAAGCCTCTCTTAAAACAGGACAAGGAAGGGGCATTTCAGGGGTTACAAATTGAGCTCAGTGGTAAAGCATAGCTAGCAAGTGCAAGACCATAGGTTCAGTTTCCATGAACAACATTCCCCCCCACAAAAAAAAAATAAGAAAAAAAATAAAAAAGAAAAGTAGAAAGGCAAGAGAAAGAAAGGACAGGACACGGCAGGCAGGCAAGCATCAAATGTCCCTGCCTATCATGATCTGTCCTGGTTTTTTCCTTCAGTAGTAAACATCTCTACACTTAGCATTTTTGCTCACTAATCATAACTGTTTATCAGACTTTCTCACTATTGTCCTGACATTCAGCTTAGCCTAGATTTGCTGACTGTTCAAATAGTAAAGATCTGCCTTCTTATTTGGAACTCCCATACCTCTATTGTCATCTTCACCCTCAGTTTCCAATTCCTCCAGGAAGCTGAAGTGCCTGAATGAGAATGTCTCCAAACTACCCACTGACGGGCACATCTCACCCATACCTGTGTCTCCCTAACCGAGAAGGACTAGACAATGGCTGATCTCCACTCACTTATCCACAGACATTCTTCTAGTTTCCTGCTCACTCATGCAGCAACCAGTTTTGCTTTCTTTGCTCAATCGTTCTTGTCTGCATATTTGCTTTATTTTTGAAAAACATAGGCATGTCACTAAATGACAGACATACTCTGCAAGAGTAGTCATTGGTGATTTTACTATTATGTCAACACTGCAAATGTGGTTATACAATCTAAAGCAGTGACAATGTCACTGGATGGCATGGTCTTAGAAGACCACTGAATATGAAGTCCATTGTTGGCCAAAACATTGTCATGTGTCACATAATTGTATTTTAATGTCCCAGCACTTCTGTCAGTTTTTGCATTTCAGAAAACCCCTTGCAATAGCTGCCAATGTTTGCTGTCTAATTTATCTCTTTAAACTCACTCCATGTAAGCAAGATTTTACCTCCAGCACTATCTCATTAAGATCCCCTAAAATCCATATATTATCAATGACCAATTTGTGAGTCCAAAAGTCCAACAGAAGAGCAAATTAGCAAAGACAGGACAGAGCTTGGAATGTAGTCACCTTTACTCTGACCCAAATCTTGTTGATAACACTTAAACTCTTTTTAGAATCTCTGCACCTACCCACTCCACTGCCACCCAGAGCCATCAACTTACACCTAGCTCCCCATAGAGCCTCCCAAGGCCTTCCACTCTTGTCTCCTGCAATATGTGATCTCAGTTCACTGCAACACAGCTGCTTTCACGGGTCCTGGGACTCACCCCCACCTTCTGACTAACTTCCTTGCCTCCTAAACTCTCCTAGAATTCCATTTACACAATGACACCTACCACACAATTTACACCCACACCTGACTCCATTCCTGTTTCTGCTACTCCCAAGCTCTGTCCTAATCTGCTTTTTTTTGTTGTTGTTGTTGAATTTGTTTTGTTTTTTTCTAAGACATGTGATACCTTTTGGCATATCAAAAATGTACTATTATATTATCACTTGCATGATTCTCCTCCTTCTAGAAGCCAGGTGTACAAGCTCAGAGCTCTTTGCCATTCTGTTCAAAGATATCTCATGTATTAAGTTCCTGCACTTTTTGCTGAGTTAAATTGGGTTGAGTTGAATTAATCTAATTAAAGTGAAGTTCATGGATTCATTGAGCAAGAATATATATATATATATATATATATTTCACAAATGAAATTATATTTATGTATATACATTTCTATGTGTATCTATATAACAAATACAGCTACCTTGAGAACTTAGGCATTGGAATAGCACAGATGAACCTTTGAGAAGAGGTTAAGGAAGGGTCACTTTAGCAGGTAAGACAATAGTATAATTATAACCTGGCTGAGAAATTCTCTTAGAATGCAAAGCTAATATAGAAATATAGAAATAAACAAACAGTGGAAGGACAGAAAGCATGGCAATGGCATAAGATAGTATAAAATACCAAGGTGAGGCCTCTGATTGGTGACTTCAAATTCTAAAATGAGAAACACAAGAGAATAAGGGAGAGGACACATGTGAGGCCATAATGACTGAAGATATCTGAAAAATTTAAGAAAGACCAAAATACTCAAGGAAAGAAGGGCAAGATAAGTTAATGTTTATTTTTTATGTTACTCCAGGGGAGAAAGAGTTTATTTGGCTTATGGTACCAAGCTAGTGTCCATCGCTTCTGGTAAGTCAAGGTAGGGCCTTTGAGGCATCTAGTCACATCACATCCAAGAGCATGCCTACTTGCTTGCTTGTTTTTGGCAAGATACCTCCATTCACCTTCAGTTCAGGACTGCCTGCCTAGGGAATGCTACTGTCCACAGTGGACTTGGTCTTCCCACATCAATGACTTAACATAGTCTTCTGCAAAACATGCCCATATTTTAAAAGGCTAAATTTAAACATGCTGAGGAAAATAACATTCTTCATTTATTTTAAAATTTGATCTCCCGCCAAATGAACCATTAAAGACACATGGGCTTTTCTTAAAGACCAGAAAGGAAACCAAGAGAGGGAGGAAAGTGGCAATGAAGTGGCAGAAGGACAAAGGACATGTGTGACATGAAGCAGAAAGGAGGCTGGTAGAGAGTTAGATGTGAGGGTCAAGGAGGGAGCTGGGGTATAGAGAATCTACTAAAATGTGCTTTGCTTAAAAAAATAAAAATATGCCACATGCAACCTAATTCATTATATGCTAACTTAAAAATGAATAGTATAAGAAAAAATGAATAGTATTAAGAAAAGAAACATAGGGTTTTTTGTTTTGTTTTGGTTTGGTTTTTGTTTTTGTTTAATCTTTATGTTATTTTTCTGGGTCACTGACCTTGAGCTGCAAAGTGGGCTGTCCATCAACTTCCTCACAGAGCATGCATTTGTCTGGATCCTGGATTCCCATGTAAATGGGAATCCCTTTGTTCTGCTCAAGAGACTCTGGATACTTGCATGGAAGGACAGTGATGGTGACTATAAGGATAAGAAAATAGCAATTTCATTCTTAGGCTGGAAGACAGAGTGCTCTAATTGTTCTGATTTATCAGAGCAGCATTTGCCAAGCGAGGCCAGAAGATACTTGAAGAGTGTAACTGCTGTTACCCAGACCAACCAAGTGGTCATTCACCCACTTATCCATCCATTCTGATAGGCAAGCAGGGTTATAGCTGTTGGGGCACAGAGTTAAGCAGATGGTAGGATTTAGATTTTTACACCTATGCTTAAACTCCTGGAAGCAAAAAATCCTACCCTAAGCCATTCCTGTGATCTTTGAAGAGCTGTAACCATTAACAAAGTTTGCCTAATGGGATGCTGAAATTTACCTGTTTGTGTTATTTACTCATTTAATCCTTTTAGGATGCTTTGATGTCATATAGGCAGACACCTTCCCCTTCCATAGGACAGATCTGCTGCTTCATATCTGAGTGCAAGTCCCTTATGCCTAAGGTTTGTCCACCCCTGTGACTGCTTCACTCTAGTCTAGGACAAACTTCTTCCTGGCTTCTCTTCCCAGGCAGGTGTAACATTCTGCCTCTTCCAGGTGGCCCCCATGAAAAGTTAAGGTTGTTTTTGATACATAGTTAAGCATATTTTGGAGGTACAAAGTATTGATTTAATACATCTTTGCCAGCAACAACAAAGAAATCAAAGGAGTCAGTATATCCTTCATTTCATATGCTTCACATTTATTTGTGGCCAAACACCCAAGAAGCTCTCTTCTAACTACTGTTAGCTGTGGCCACCCTGCTGCACAATAGGTACTGATACTTTAACAAAAGTCTGTGTAGTGTGAGGAGCAAAGCAGTGACAGATGACTACTGACCTGGGACTACATTATTACTCCGTGGAACTGACACAAGGTTCTGACCACGAAGGATCCACACCTGCTGGTCCAAGTCAGAAATCTCCCCAGACTGAGGGGTACTTCTTGCTGTTTGAATGAAAAAAAAAAAAGATAGACATGAAGATTAAGTCTCAGAATAGGAGAAAGATGACCCTTTCTGTAATGAAGGTTTACATCCAGGAGTTTATATCCCCAAACTGGCAGCCTTCCTGTAACCCATCAACCTAGACTTTCTTTCAGTAAGTCAGTGGTAAACAAAGGCTGCCAAGACTTTGTGATTACTGTTCTAAGATGACAAACCATCAAGGCAAAGTGACAACTAGCTCCACAGTTTCTATGTGTTGAGATCCAGCTGCTCTTGTTTGTGCATGCTCTGTGCTTGGCCGGATGCTGATCATAGCTAGAACAGTAGAAAAGTAGTGTTTTCCACACTCCAGAAAATGAAGGCTAGTGGCATATGGGCACCTTGCTGTGTGCCAAGAGCCATGCCATGCCTGAGGGGTGGGGTGTAATTCTTGGGTTTCCAGAGGACGTAGCTGAAGATATAAATAGCCCAGCTCTCTAGTGTCTCATCCAAACATCACCTCCAATTCTGGTGCCTCCATTGGTTTTCATTGTGGTCTTGTCCTGGTACCTGAGGGAGGAGACATCAGGAAGAAAGACAAACCTCAGGAGACATTTCTAAGACTTTCCAAGACCCTGGATGTCCAGGCTTTTTCATTCAGGACAGAGCAGAAATGTATAAACAGACATGATTATGTAGTCAGAAGAGTTAAGCTACCTCCTGGGACCATACCTCAAGGCACAGGAGACAGAACAGGCAGAATTCTTCTCTATTCAGAAATCTCAATAACATCATTCCCCTACATGTTCCAAGGCCTTAACTAACATTCAGCTTTAAACATTCCCCAGCATCCAATTCCTTGTACATCCATTTCCCAGAAGTCCTTCCTCTTCACTATCATCTCTTTTTTTCCTAAGGCAAGGCAAATCTTCATGTTGGGCAGTTTGACCTGAATCCCACCAATTCAGAAGTGAAAGACAGAGGTTCATACACAAGGCAGGGACCTGAGTTATTGCAACATGGCTTTTTTCTATTCACTGAGCCACAAAGTACAAAAAGCTCCAGAGTCAGGGGGTTTTGTATGAATGGGATATACCTGGCAAGAAGAGTCTTTATGGAAATTCTGGGAGACCAAACCACAGCAGAGGCAGCTCACTGGTGCGGTGATGGGCTTTGACCCAGCCTGGGTCATTTATCTAGGTGAGTTCAGGAAGCTCCAACCTCTTTTGTGGGGTGTGGCAAATGTACAATGTGGAAAACATCCAGTTCCTCTTGCCAGAACTTTGCTCTTGGGAGGCACAGGTGAAGAAATCTCAGAATCAGCATGAGTGTGACTTGTCTGAGCTCCTCTAGAAATGTTAGGAGCCCAGCACCATAGGTCAACCACCAGGAGACAGAGCTCGTGACAAACCTTAGATTACTCAAAACAAAGAGACTAAGGGGCTTCCCCAGAACTCAGATGGCCTGTCTTGACCTGTCAGCTGTGGTTAGATTACAAATTCAAGGAACACAAATGCTAGGGTTGGAGTCTGGAACCCAGACCTCCAAAATTCTACTTCAGAATCCTAATAGTCTCTCTAGTCAAGCTCTCTTACTTTTCACCTGGACCCTTTTCTGGCCTTGGAAGAATGTGCTCTATGTACCTTGGGAGAAAGTGTAAAAAAGAACTGAGAATCACTCTTACCCAATATCAGGTTTGGTGCCTGTCACCTCTCAGTCAAAATGTGCTCTTCCTTGGAATTTTCATCACAAAACAGTATTAAAAATGTACCATCTGCTATTCAAATCCCTTAGTGCTCTGTTTCAGACCCATATCTGGAAAACAGAATCTACTAAGACAAAAAATTGGGCTCACCTCTACAAAAAGGCTCAGGGAGGCTAAAGAATGAAAGGAATTGTGGTATTGTAGATAGTAGCAATTGTGGTTATGAAAACAAAAACAAAAACAAACAAACAAACACAGGAGCTCAAATGAAGGACATTGAGACTGATGCTTTAGGAAGTAGGAAATCCTATACCAAACTGATAGTCCATAGAAGAGTATGCAAAGAGCATACCAATGGGTTGCCCCATGTCAAATGGTCAGTCCTGAGATCATGCATACAAGCAACATTATATGACCTGAACGGGTTATATTTAGGAATATATGTGTATGTACAACAATTAGTAAAAAAAATAGGTCAAGAATTTGAAGAAGAGCAGGGAGAGATATAAGGGGAGGTCTGAATAGAGGAAAGGAAAGGGAAAAAGGTTGTAATTGTCATCTCCCTCCAAAATTAAAAAGAATTTGCTATCTGGTGGATGCATGGATCTTGGAGATGTAAGGGAAGGGTCAGCTAGCAGATTCTCAGAGGGCCTGAAGAACACAACTCAGAGGGAAATATTTTCATGTGTTTTAAAGACTCTTAAATTCTCCAAAGCTAGAAGATTGTAAAACCTTATGTAGTCTGGTGCTGTGTATCTTTAATTTCAGCCTTATGCTCCACTTGTTTCTGACCTGTCCACAGCTTCCTAGCTTTTAGAGAATATAGCCCCTCCCCAGATTGCCATCCTTGAGTCACTGGCTTAGACTTCAGTGTGACTTTCAAAGGATAGAGACATTAGAGGAAATGGGAGTATGTAAACCTGTTTCCTGGTGCTATAGAAACATTTCAGGCTAGTAGAAAAAGAACAAATCAGCAGTGAGAGTGACAATATGTATGGTGAGAGAGGAAGCCAAAATGGAGCGAGGAACTGATCTGACTTTTGTAACAATGTTTTTTTTTTTTTTTTTGTTTTTTTTTTTTTCAGGTGAACTAACTGGAGTCCCTCTATGTTAAATTAACATAATCTTATTATATTAACTATGCTAATCTCCTCTGAGGTTAGGATGCCCAATGATATAATTCTCTTTTTTTCTAGACTCACTGAATGTGGTCTAATTAGCTCCCAATATGATCACTTTGGCGACTAGTCTCCCAATGCATGAGTATGCTTGTGGGCCATACTCAGGCCATATCCAAACCATAGCAGGAATAATGAAGATAAAGAAGAGCAGAGAAAGTTTTTGAGAATTCTTATCTGAACATGAAATGGGTAGATATTGTGAGTATAAGGTCTGCTAACTTCATTTGAGATGATTACCAGTATTGACACTAGTTGTTAGACCATGAACATATTGCTTTAAGATGAGGCCACTTAAGGAGATGTGGCAGCCTGGGAGAGATCTAGTCCTATCTCCCTGAAGCTCTGGTCCCAGTTCCTCTATAGGTACAAGTAGCAATGGCAATAACAAGGGTCCCTCTTCCATTTGCTGCTGCAGGCAAACATAGTTCTACTGTCCAGCCCAAGACAGACATGCCTTAAGTTATGTTAGACCACAAATCCTCTAGTTGCCAAGCTGTCCTCTTTCCCCTAAAACTCAAGCCACATCCTCCACTGTTTCCCTCCCCCTTCTCTCCCTCCCTGCCTTTTTTCAGATAACTGATAAGCAAAGTTCATTATGGCCTTGCAGTCTCCTTCTTCATTGCCCATTGTAACTATGTGCAAACCCAAGTTAACCTTGAATTGTAACTTTACTTTCATCTAGTACCCTCCAGCCTGTGATTCTTGGCACGTTGGCTAGGTCAGACTAGGTCACAGAATGTAGATTCATCCCTTCCACTTTTAGAAACCCAAAAGACAGAGAAATTCCCTTTGTGTTGTGGAATCGAAGGGTTCCTTTTCCCTATGGCATAGTGCTGTGTAGTTGTAGCCATTCAAGGGACTGGAAGAGGACCGCTTTCAGGACCTATGTTGAACTGTCTTCCCAAATGAAGCTCTTTCTGGGACCCAAAGGCTTGCTTTTCCACTTCAAACCATGATGATGTAACTCCCCCTCTCAGCTTTCTATCAGCTGTCATAATGTCCTTTTTTAACAGCTGATAAAAGCAGAGCAGAATTTTTCTGTTAAAATCATCTAGTTGCTGATGTTTCCTATTAATATGTTGCATAATATAAAATAGTGACAACAATGGACATTAAGTGTGGTTTGAGTTTAATCCCAGTTAAGTATGTACAAGGCTAAATGTCTTAGATGTGGGAATAATCCCAAGATTTCTATTAGTCTAGATTCTAATTTTCAGACTTTAAGATGCTACTTTGCAATTTTTATTTATTTGTTTTTTTTTGTGTAGAGACAGGGAGTTAGAGAGGGTATTCATTAGTCCTACAGATTTATTCATTTAGCAGGCCTATGACCATTTTAGATTGAGGAAACTGGGTAGCGTGAGAGAACTTCAGTATCATGAAAGTCTCTAGAACCACTTCCCAGGTATCCATTATATAACCTGTATTCATATAATCAGGATGACAATCAAAACTTAAATATCAGGGATCATGAAACAATAAGGCCATCCAATCCTCCTCCAGTACTTACTAATGATATAGGAACACTATAGTACTGGACTAGAGACTCAAAATAAAGTCTAGAATTCTCCAGTGACACATTCACCAGAAAACTAAATCCACATTGCTTGTAATCTGTCAAAACCAATCTACAAACATGGCTAGGATTCTGTTCAGGAAAGCTACTGGAATGGAACTGTCATGTATCCCTGATAGAACATCAGGGGTATACCATGTATTACAGAAACCACCATAGGTTCACTTATATGCTAATAGTCTTGAGGAAGTGCCAAGGAAATTTCTGGGGCAGCCTCTGTATATAGAATAATAGGATGGACATATTTGAAGGCTTCTTCTCTGTTAAGAAGCCTAACCCTGTAATCTAAGATATGCTTCCATCACATTCTCCCAAAGCTGGTCTCCACAAAACCCCCATTCTATGACATGAGCCAATATGCTATTTAACTTCATCCCTTCCTTGAATGAAAACAAAGGTCAAATTTACAAAAGTAACCCCTAACCTACTCAATAAAATATTAGAAATAAACATTAACAGAATTTTTACAAAAGAATGGAACCATGTAGGACCACCACGAAGATGTTTCTCATAATTTTCAGCAGTTGTGGATCATTGTGAAAGCTAAAGCAACAAAAGCAC